TCACGTGAATATAAGTTTTTGTTAAAGGCGATATTGTTTTAGATTTGAGATTTTTTTCCCCCAAAGTTGTAAAATTAATTTTCCAATCCGATCCGATGTGTTGAATTAGGAAAATCAAGCTCAGAGCAACTGGTTGCATCACGAGGCACGGTCAGCCGCAGCCAAACCCTCCGGCTTGCTCTAAAATAAAASCACTGCATGGAAAAAGGGAGAGGGAAAAAAAATGCGCAATTTGGAACCAATAACGCGGCATTTAAAGATGTTTAACAATTAAAGACAAACGGCAAAAAATATTAAAAAAATGTCTGWCAAATATTCACACCACATAATGTCTTTTCCAAGGATTTATTCCTTTTGGAATTGTTAAACTTACGCGCGCTCCCTCTCTCGTTGCTTCTCTCTGCTCCAGACAAAAGTGGGCACATTTGTCCCTCCACACCCCTAAAGCCGTCCTAAAMCCAATCCAAAGCTGCATGTAAGAACCGGCGCGACACACTCCCACCGCAGTCTGCGGCCGCTCGAGTGCCAAGGCCATCCATACCCGGTGCCCAAACCCACCACTCAATACACACTGAGGGGCAGAGACAAGGAGAAATGACATTTATTATACTCTCTAAAAAAAAGAAAGGGAAAAAAAACAGACAATTCCAAGTTATTGTTTCTCTCTTCGACAAAAAGGGGGGCTTGCTTCTAACATAATGAACGTCTTTTGTGCGGCGCAGAACAATACAAAACAAGTATTCTAATAAATAGCCACTTTTTTTGATGGAGGGTGGCGGGGAGGGGGGGGGGGGGGGTGAATGGGCTGGAGCGGCGGGGTTCTGAAAGGCAGCTGTGCCGCATTCCGGGGAGGAGGGGCAAGGACTTGGCGAGAAGCCCCGCACCCCCTTGTCTCCTCCTGGATACTGACTCCCATTTACAGAGCCCGAAACAGGAGGGGGGAAAACATACAAAAAATGGGATGGAGGGAGATGGGAGCGAGAGAAAGAGAAAAGAGGAGAGAGAGGTAGAGAAAGGCAAAGACTGTGGAGGCTTTAGATAATTAAAAGAATAAATAATATGGAAATGATCAACTCTTGCGTGAAACTGTGAGGCGCAAAGTATCCAACCTGCGCAACTCAAAGGCACGCGCAACTCTGACATCAGGTAGAGACGCACACACTGAAACTGACACAACAAATTCACAGTCTTGCAACGCAGCTGGGTTAATTGAAGGAATCCTAATTAAACACGGGTTCACAGTTTTGTGATGCAGCAGAGTGCTCCTCGCACTGTTTCATTTACTGCTAAACTCCAGTTCTCCCCCTAAGTCTCACGTGATTGTTTTGCAAACAGCGCACTCAGGACGAGCAGCGCCTTCGTTTCTCATGAACTCTGCCGGCTGCCTGTTGCAGCATCCAGGCGTCAGAGCTGTCAGACTCTGACTYGCGGCTCCTGTATCTGGCAGGTGCACTGGCTGCTTCTCATGCATCTGTTCACTGGAGACTGGAGGTAAGGTGACAAGTTTGTAAGCAGAATTTATTTTTCAAAAAGGGGAACAAAATAAAAGTCCTGGCCAGATTTAGTAATTGGCTAAATATAGCATAGTGCAACATTTATTGCTTTATTTTTTTTCTTATAGAATAGCTCAGCCATTTTCAAGGAAGTTTTGCGGAAAAGATTATGAACAATTATTATCTTACCTGCCTTAGATAGCTCTTTGAACAAACTCAATCTGAAAAGTTTAATTCTGACCAGATAGTCTGAGTGGGATAAGACCAAAATGAATCATTGTGGTCTAAAAAAAACCTTGATTTTGTTGTGTGCCAATTGTTTGAATGCTGTCTTAAAACCTCTTTAAATCCTTATTTTTTGTACATGTTATTTATATAGATTTCTGTGATCACTTGCCCGTTCAAATAGCAGCAGTAGCCTATAGAGAAATATCCAAATATTTCTGCCTGAAAAATTGTTTGATGTGAAACTGACGGCTGAGTGTGAACTGTATTTATATAACTCTTTCATAGCTTTTTCAGTTCAGTTCATTCTTATATCGACAGTTCACAACAAAGTCATCTCAGGGCATTTTACAAAAGAAAAACAAAAAAAAAAAAAAAAACAAATCTACACAAAAACAGACCCAGATTCAAATCCAATTACAGTCACTTGAAATTTCATCATAATTCAATACATTCACAGTATGAAAGGCCAGTTAGTAAAAGTAAAGGACACATGAAAATTGTATCAAATCTTCACTTCAATGCGATCTTTGTGTTGGTGATAGTGGAAAGAACAACTTCATTTTAATAAGAAGAAACATTCCAAAGATATATTCAAAGTGTTTTTTTAAGTTTTATTCATTCACTCACAGAACAACCAGGAACTATGGCTCAGTCTCTTGCTCAAAAACACTTTGATGATGGAATCAAACTGCCACCCTTCTGTGTGGCAGACAACAGCTTTTCCTCCTAAGCCATCAATAAGATTTAAAGCTTTCTGATGTATCACTTGCTTTACTTTTGTGCTTGAGCTAGCATGTCAATCCAAACTGAGATTGTTCAAAAAAAACTATCCACAACAGGTAAGATAATGTTGTCTGTTTTATTCCCACATATCTACACTTAACAACAAACTCCATAATCCCTTTAAGTCACACTTTTCAAATCAAATATCATTTCTTCAACAGAACCCTGCAGAGTAACTTTTTAAAAATTCTTCTCCACACTGAAAAGGATTATAGCAGCTTCTGCATTTTCTCACTTTGCAACTTCTGAGAACTCCAGATACATTGAAACCATAGAAGGTGATAAGTAAAAGATGGTTCAGTGAGTGAGGGGATGGGGGGATGAGGAAGACAGCAAGTCAGGGAGATCAGATCAGGATCAGGCCTATGAGCATTGAGAGAAAAGTGGGCTAAAAGCAAAGGTCTCCGTGGAAAACACAAATCAAACGCCACTGATGATTTGGGGGTCAGGGTTTTAGCAGAAATAAAATACATGAATGGCTTGTTGCATAAAGGGAGAAGCAGCAAAACTTCAAAAAATGACAATGTATGACATAATGTATGTTATCTGTATCAAGTTTAAAACAGGTTAAAAAGCTGCCAACCTGAAAGTGTGCTTTTTATATTTGAAGGAGAGCATAACATGTCATTCAAATCTGGGCACTCTTGTCTATGAGCAATTTGTTCTTTTGTTGCTCCATGTGCTCTATTTTCATCTTCTTCTCTTGCAGGAGGAGAGCATGTGAGGGGCTCAGTGGAGTGGTGAGTTACAGACAGGATGACACCAAAGGAGGGAGGTGAGAAGAGGAGTCGGCAGAAAGAGGAGAGAGAGAGTGAGGGAGACCAGGGAGGCCAGTGTCAATCCCCACGGCAAACAGCAGCGGATAATCATGGGGTTTAGGAAAACACTGTGTCCATAATGCTATTACTCAGGATTACCTACTCCAGTAGAGAAGGCAAGACTCTCTTCACAATGTGCCACAGACCTTTCAGATAATCATCTTATCACAGATGACAAATCCAGAAGAAACATCCCATTATTCAAGAGGGAGGAGAGGAAGAAGGAAAAAAAATCTGCTGCATGTTTGGATGAAGACATATTGTAAGCCTAAATTATTCAAGTGGAAAAATATCAGATTTTCAAAATTAGCACGCCAGTCGCTTCCACCCCCCCCCCACTTCCCGTTTTTTTTTTCATTCTCTCACTGTCTCTTTCTCCCAGAGCACTTTCTCTTTTTCCCCGCAGGGCAATTAGAGACAAGATTTTACACATTGTTCAGCTTATCAGTTAGCCATAACACCTTCCCCTCTGATTGGTCTGTAACAAACATAATGGTTTTAACAGTCATGAGTTGCTACTCTTAGAGGTGCTGTRCTAATGGTGTCGCCACGGCGATGGAGTCACAGTAACAGCTTTGCAGAAAAGCAGAAGGAGGAGGASGAGGTGGTGGGGAGGTAAGTCAGCTCTCCCTAACACATCTCTAATTAGAGCTCACAGTCAGTCATTACTGATGTAATAGGGTGTAACACTAATGGCTATCAGGCAAGCCCCCACAAACAACTGAGGGGGGCTCTTGTAAGGTGAGAGGGGCAGAAAATTTATAGAGGAAAGAGGAGGGGGTTACGGTGAGGAGGTGAAGTGAAATGGAAAGTTAGGGCGTGGAGTGTGAACATGTGTAATGGAGGGGAGGTGGGTGTTCGGGGTCAAGGAATTATTTGCGAGGGAAAAAAAGCACGCCTTGGAGCAGAGAAGATTTTTAAGTAGACGAGGTCAGGGTCCATTAATGGAAAAGTCTTTCTGATGATCTGGCACAGGCCAGATGCAGACACTGATAAGACATAAAGAAGACGGAAAAAATGGATAAAAATTATGTTTCTTGTTTATTCGGAAAACCAAACGAGACACAGGACAGGAAGGAGGAGGCAAACCCGAGAGGCAAAGTTAACCACTTTGGCACTTAGACCTTGTTATCACCGATGCACTCAGCAGCACATTTAGCTGCRTGTTTTTACACTGTTCATCACAAAATTGGAGCATCTACAGCAAAACAGAGCCGAGGTAAAAAAGAAACAATATGGACATCAGGAAAGCACGGTCAAGGGAAGTGAAGAAAAGTGATGTAGTCTTTTGTAAGACAGCTGAGTTCCCCTGAAAGTGAGGAACTAGCTTTTTCTTAAGGGTGCACATTATTTTTAAGCACTTTTCAGATAAGCTAATCCATATATGAAAAATGATGTAATCCTGATAACTTTGATTGAAATGTTGCTGCATTGCTACATTTTGAGTTTTGGGAAAGGATTCTTATAAAAGTTATTTTCTACAGTAATTACAATTTCGAAATATTTCACTTAATTTCAAAAAGAAAATTTTGTGTGAAAAGTTCATTCACATATAATTTACTGTAAAAAACTAAAAACAACAGCTAAGTATAATATTAAATGTCCCTATGAGGCTGGAGTTTTTTCACCTTTTTTCACCTTTTTACAGATTAAAGCTCCCTACAGAAACCTTTTAATAGTGATCATTTTTCTGTAGTGCCGTTTACATACAGCAGAAAAACAAAAGGGATATTATTTTCCAGGCCCACAATAAAATAACTATGTTACATTCAGTTGTTATGAAAATRCTGCACATATCAGAAATAAATTTGACTTTGTATAGCCTATATAAATGCCTTAAAATTGACCTTTGCCTCTTTAAGAACTTCCTACTGTTTCTGGCACTCCCACTTCATTATTTAGGGTCATTCTCACAGCACCACCCCAACACAAAATTGTTCTTAAATCAGGGGTGGGCAATCCTGGCCCTCGAGGGTCAAAAGCCCTGCATGTTTTACGTGTTTCTCTGCTCCAACACACCTACTTTGAATGAATGGGTGATTATCAGGCTTCTGCAGAACTTGTAAGAAGTAATTCAATGTGTAAATCAGGTGTGTTGGAGCAGGGCAAAAAAAGTAAAACATGCAGGTCTGTGGCCCTCGAGGACCAGGATTGCCTACCTCTGTCCTATGTGTTCAATTTTAGCAGAGCTCTTTAAGTTGTGGTGCAAAC